GAGTTGCGTGGAGTGCGAGGTCCCGCCCAATGCTGCTTGCAGCTTTAATTTATTATTATTATTGTTAATATAATAATATAATATGTGGTGTCCTCTGATTGTACACATTGCAATAGCCTACACATTGCTTGTAAACCTTTCCCTCTGACTCCTATGTATTGTATGTCTCTGCCACTGTCAGTGTGTCCCTTTTCCACCAATACAAAACGTGCATTTGTAAACCAATTTATGAAATTACATTTTATTTAAACAGGGGACATAATAGAAAGAGTTTTTAATACAGTATGATGATCAATGTACAGTTAGTAAACAAATTAAAGATACAAATGAATATGACAAAACTGAGGTCTTGTGTGGTTTTCGAAATTAAATCAAAACTACTGAAATCCTGATATGTTGTTAGATGAAAATGAGGCCACTTAAAATAAAATGGCAAAAATGTTATATGTGTGGAAAGCAATAAATATCTGTCACATCTGTCATTAATAAATGTGGCGGTACTGATTCCAAAGGTCTCGTCTCAGCTCAGGGGAAAGGAGCTTTAACGAGGACTTTAACAAGAAGGGAATTCTTAAGCCGCTTTCAGTCATAGTTAGGGAGTCAGTCCCCACACAACCTGTGTGCCTGTACAGGTGATCTGAATGATCCTCTAATCAAACCGGAGGAATGTTGATATTAAGCCAAAATAAATGGGAAAAGGGGAAATTAAATAGCAGCAAATACAAAAGAATGAGGGCCTGCTACATAGTGTGGGTACTAGAAAGTAATTTGTTGCTGGAGGGAGAAGGGATGGACAGGATTTCCACTAGTCATCACATTATCTCAATCATATTCTTCATGTAAGAGCTTTTTTTACTTATTTTTACCGATCCATGGTGATATAACATACAGTAATTTCTGTCCACAAAACATACTGCAGTCTGCATTTTGAGACTTAATTTTATTAAATATTGTGAGAACATTAAGCAAATAGTGGTAACATTGTCACAGATTATTTTCCTTTAGCTTTTAGCTTTAACACTTTATTATTACTTTTTACTTTATTATCAATTTATTATTTTATACCATGTTAATAACCTTAAAATCTGTCTTCTGATTTCTGGTAACTTGAGCCCATACACAAGAGGATTGAGAACTGGAGGAATAACAACAAACTCTAGTGACAGAATAACAGCCACAAATGGATGTATCTGTTCAATGTTATACCTGCTCAGGGCAATATCACAAAATCCTGTGATAGAATAAATCACAAATGTAATAACATGAGGCAAACAGCTCTGAAATACTTTCCCTTTGAATTCAGCCGAGTTTTTCCAGCAAACCATTAAAATTCGCAGATAGGTGTACAGGACATAACAAAGGGGAAAGAAAACTGTAGAAATAGTCAAAAGCAAACCATAAATATTGTTCACAAGAGTTTTAACACATGACAATTTTACAATGTTCCAGTTGGCACAAAATATTTTTTGTATCTCATTACCACATAAAGGAAGCCAGGTGGACAAAGAAATTAATGCCATAATACCAAAAGCTGGGCAAATCCAAGCCAATGCTGCCAACTTTCTAACCGTTTTGTTGTTCATCTTTCTGTGATAGTGTAAAGGGTGACAAATTGCAATATACCGATCATATGCAATAATGCCAAGAATCGTCATTTCATAGGAGGCATATGTGTAAATAACATAGATCTGAGTGAAACAAGCAGGACGTGAGATCAAATGAGCGTCAGACAGGAGGTCCATGAGGAATCTGGGGAAGAAACCAGTGGATCCATACAGAGAGTTGACAGATAACAAGGCAATGAACACATACATGGGTTCGTGTAGGGTTCTTTCTCGAGATATCACCACTATTATGACAAGATTAGCAGAGAGAATAAAGCTGTACAGCAGGAGGCAAAAAACAAAGACTGGATAGCGGTAGTGTCCAATGTTCACAAACATGGTGAGGTTAAAGTAAAAGGAAACAGTGCTGTTTTCCATTCCACACAACAAATCAGAGACTAAGAATTCAGTAAAACTCTTATTCTTGTCCTGAGAAATCGGTGATCTGATTTGAAGTTTGCAGCATCTACGTGAAGGAAAATGAAAGCAGTTGAAACATAATTTCACATAATACAGTACTATAAGTTATACTCACAGAACTAGTGGTGAATAATCTTTAGGTATGTTCTACATGTTGCTCTTGGTTAGATATATAGACACACCACAGGTGGAGGTAATAGGAGGGGTCTTTTATGTTCTCTGACTCTGGACATGTCGTCATAGTTTCAAATGTTACAAACATCCACGGTCCCCAGACAACCCTGTCTCCTAAAATACAAAATTGTTTTCTAAATTACGTTGTTTTTTCATGTTCAAAATCAAAGTTTCTTTGAGTGAATGAAACACTACATTTATGTAACACGCTGGATCCTCGAGGAGGTGGATCTGCGTCCAGACTACGCTCTCTGGTTAGGTTTAGGCAACAAAAGCACTTTGGTTAAAGTTAGGGAAAGATTGTGATTGCAGTTAAAGGTCCAGTGTGTAACATTTAGGAGGCTCTATTAGCAGAAATGGAACATAATATTTATAGGTATGTTTTCATTAGTGTATAATCACCTGAATATAGGAATCGTTGTGTTTGTGAATCAGCCGTCTTGAGTCTGAGGGTGAAGTAAATAACACTGATTATCTTGTTATCGTGGCTCCTGTCAGTAGCTGGGTTATATCAGGCAGCAAGTGAACATGAACATTTTGTCCTCAAAGTTGATGTGTTAGAAGCAGGAAAAATGGGCAACTTGAGGATTTGAGCAACTTTGATAAGGGCCACATTTCCACTTTCTGTGGAGGCCGGCCGTGTTGAGCCACCATGTTTCTACAGTAGCCCAGAACAGACAAACCAAACAGTGGCTCTATACTTTTGCCAATGTAGATTCTCCTTTGTGCTTGGAAGGGGAGGGTGAAGCGAGGGAGTTGCTATCTGCAACTAGATCCATAAACACAACACAAAGTGGAGGTGATTGGAGGAGTTAGAACATAATCATTTTAGGATGAGGATTTATTACCTCCCCATAATCCATTTTAAGATTGGAGGCGAAGTAATTTACACCTATAAATATTATATTTCCTTTCTGCCACAAGATCCTTCTAAATATTGCACACTGGACCTTTAAACATCATTTGTGTAATTATTATTTGAGTCAGAGTTGTCTTTTGATGCTCTAGTGTGTTTTTACATACACATAAGACATTTTGAATATATTTCTTAAAGGGAGTTTGGTTTAATATTTCCCTGGGTGCAGAGAGCTTTGTTGAACTCAAACTGTTTGATTATTTTTTAACGTTTTGTTGATATTAAAGTTGAGGCAAAAAACCTGTAAATGCCATCATCAGGAAAACTGTTTTGTCTGGACCTGTGCCAGAGGGAGAGGGGGACACTGATGCAGCTACAGATCCTACAGAAACCACCTGGCAAAGCAAAACTTGTGTAATGCCAAAGCTGAACAATTTCAAATTCACACAGTATTTAAATAACTCGAGCCAAGCCAATATGTTTTTAATTTCTTTATATTTAGACTCAATCTTAAGTATGGCTGTGGCTGGTGGTGAGGAGGTCCCGGTTTAGTTTTAGTATTGTTTTTCACTTTTCAAGTATATACTTGGTGATGTGGTGATAATAATAATATATATATATATATCCACACATAGAGATACGCATATACTGAAATGTGTGATTTATATTTCATGTGTGGTTTTTCATCTGAGGACTTAACTTTATTTCGTCATCTCACAATCTGATCGCATCGCTGATTTCTATGTGTCTGAATAACTTTGTGAGAACTCTATGTGGGTGAAAGGATGTGTAGAAATGCACAACTTTTTCTGCATATAATGTCTCTATAAATCCCGGCCTTTGCAAAGAAGTATGTGTAAGTAATGTACGCACATTTCACTGCTGTTTTGGCAACTTTTTTGCACGTCTTTACAAGTCAGGCCCCAGATAATTCCTTTCTTCTGCTATTCTAGAAAAGGTCATTCATGGTTTTATCTCCTCAGTCTTGACTATTGCGAGTCTCAGCTTCACTAAAGAGTTAAGGTTACGCCTATTTTTTCTGTGAGCTGCATGCAGTTCCCAGCAAAAATAGACAGTGAAAAGGGTCTGTTCCTAGTCATGTCGACATTATACCAACAACATATACAGCTTTCACTGCAGTTTCAGTCTATATCTGTAGAATATGTCATAGACATAATATAATATATTAATTTAAAAATATTTTTTAAAGCTCAACATATCCTGTATCTGTTTCATATTAAAAGCTCTTTTGCATTTCTGTGTACAGTATCATTTGTTAACAAGGTTTTTATTTGATTGTGTTTATCACTTTATTAGTCAAACTCATGCATCCTATGTGGACCAACTGTTATACCTGATTTTAAGATTTTACTGCTTGTTTTTAAAGCCATGAATGGTCAACTTGTCACTAATGGTTACCGGGCCTTCGCTGTCTGGGCCCCTCAGCTGTACTCCATGCCTGAGGATCTCAGAAAGGCAAACTCAGTATCCACTTTCAAATGTCTTCTTAAAATTTACAACTATATTATGGCTTTTTTAGATTGTATCTACTTTTATTTGTTATGTTTATTGTAAAGTACTTTGTAACTTTGTTTTGGAAGGTGCCATATAAATACAGTTATTATTATTAGTATTATTATTGTTAGCTTCTTTGATCTAAAAGTCTAGTAGTCATGCCAGCTAGGAATCTGTCCCAGGCCCAGTTACATTTGCTATAACATATTGCTGCTTAAGTATAAATGTAGTACCCATATTGCAATTATAAAGCTATTTTTTTCTGACTGAAACAAGCCGTAACAGGAGGCAGACATGCTGCAGCTCACTATGTAATCACTATGTAATGTTTATTGAAGCCCAAAATATGTAGCATTTAGTAGATTTCTATTAATAAAATCTACTAAAAGCCTTATGTGGCTGAGAATTAGTCTACAGCCGTGATCTGGGAGACTTGTAGGCACTTTAGTATTTACTTGTAAAGAAATGGAAAGTACAGGTCAGAATCAGAAAAAAGTTAAATAAATATAATGTGGATAAGTTAAATGTCTTACAGAGATTTCATTTACTATAATGAAGAATACTTGCTTTGTGTTATTTAACCTCAATGTGTAGACATCAAATCCTAAGGTAAAGAGTTAAAGGGTCGGTGTGTGGGATGTAACATTTAATTAAAAATAGATACTCAACATTAGTAACCTAATAAATTACAATTCACATGAATCTCAACTGAAAACAAAGTGTGCACTTTTATAAATTCATCTTATAAGAAATGGTTGCATGCTCACCACACATTTCACTTCACAGACTGTGCCATGAAGTCTATTGCCACAATATTATAGTCACACTACATTTAAAGAGATATTTTCAATGGTAAAATCTTCACAATGTGTCTTCTAATTTCTGGTAATTTAAGGCCATACATAAGAGGATTCAGAAACGGAGGAATGATAACAAACTCTAGTGACAGAATTATAGCCACAAATGGATTTATCTCATCAAGATTTTGTCGGTTCATGGCAGTGTCACTAAATGATGTGATGGAATAAATCACACATGACATTACATGTGGAAGACAACTGTGAAATACTTTCCCCCTGACCTCTGATGACTTTTTCCAACAAGCAACAACAATTCTCAGATACGTGTACAAAATAAAACCAAACGGAAGGAAGGCTGCAATTATGGCTGCCAATGTAGCAGCAATACTGTTAACAGCATTGTTAACACATGATAATTTTACAATATTCCAGCTGGCACAGTATACCCTCTGTATATTGTTACCACATAGTGGAAGCCTGACAATCATATTAACAGCTATTGTAAGGTTACAGGTTGGACAGATCCAAGCAAAAAATACCAATTTATGGACAGTTTTAGAGTTGATCTTACTGTGATAGTGTAAAGGATGACAAACAGCAACATATCGATCATATGCCATAATGCTCAGAATAGTCACTTCATAGGAAGCATATGTGTAAATAACATAGATCTGAGTGAAACAAGCAGGACGTGCTATTAAATGATTATCAGAGAGAAGGTCCATGAGGAATCTGGGGAAGAAACCAGACGATCCATACAGAGAGTTGACAGATAACAAGGCAATAAAAATATACATAGGCTCATGTAGGGCACGCTCACTTAATATTGTCCATATCATGAGAAGATTTGCAAACATAATAAAGCTGTAGAGCAGGAGGCAAAAGACAAAGGCCACATAACTGTAGTGTCCAATTTTCATGAACATGGTTAGGTTCAAGTAAAAAGAGAGAGTGCTGTTCTCCATTTTCTGAATCAAAAGGATCTCACAAGTCACTATGTCTGTTCTTGTACAACCTCTTATCACTGTTTTACAAAATCAGAAATCTTAATAAACCGAACAGGCAGCATCATTGAACATTCTGGAAAAGAACATCAATAAACTGGCTCTGGTGAGATCTGTACAAACATAAATACAACTCTGGGCTGTGGGAGGTGTTCAACATATTTTATCTTCTCCAATATGGTAGATGTCAACAGGAGAATTTGGAAACTTCCCCCAAATGCATGTTAAAGTTTCTGATGAAACATTTGTTGTTCAAGATTTATAGTCATGTGACACTTGCCCCCAGGAATTCAACACAGAGGGGAGAAATCTCAGAATAGAACGTGTTAATGGATTTGGGTATGCAGCAGACTCTATCTTAGCCTACTGCACAAAAGAGATCCCTATCGACTCAACTGTATTCAACCATGCCTCCTCCCCAAAGTACCCAGGTCCCTCTCCCATACACATAGACTGTAATGTTACATTAAAGTTGAAAGTTTTATTGCAGTGAAACAGTAACAAAAATGAGGAAATAGCAAAAGCTATTGGTAAAATTTTAGATTGTTGATGAAGGGTCTAATCTGCAGAAAGCCATGAAATGTTTAGATGGTATGCCGTATTTGACTTTGAGTTGTTCAAATTATAATAATTTCAACTGTTCAAACAATTACCTAATAATCCTAATACTTTAGTTATACCAATAATGAAATATGTTCTTCCCTATTCCGGGGGGGAAGGCTTTGTTTTGTGTTATGGGGTGCAGGACTGATTGACCTCCTTCCAGTGAACTTTACAATATTTTTCCAGATTTTGATTGTATCATAATTGGACTGCTTTTGACCTCGGTTGGAAGCAAGGTACTGTCACTGATTACCAGGCTGAGTAAAGACAGAGAAGAGTGTCGGCAAGCATCAACATGGATCTCTCGCCAAGAATAAAAAGAGTGCCTCAGCCAGCCTGAATCTACACATGCATGGCCGTGCCCAGGTATAAAACAAGAAATTTGGCATTGCAAGGCCCCCTCTCTTTTGGCAGTTGTCTTACATTTGAGACATGTTTTTTTTCCCTGTGCCAAACTTCTAAATACTTTAGGCCAGCTGACAGTCTTGCCTGGGCCGGGGACGAGATAATCTTAGATGGGCCCAGATATCTCCTTTTCCCTTGCTCTTCCTCTCCTGTTCCCTTCTTCTCCTCTGCTCTTTCTCTCCTGTTCCTCTCCTCTGCTCTTCCTCTCCTCTGATCTTCCTCTCCTGTTCCTCTCCTCTGCTCTTCCTCTCCTGTTCCTCTCCTCCTCTGGACGTTAACATTAGAGCTGGCCTGTTGCTGGCTGCGCTGTTTCTTACCTTGCTCTACGTTGACTTTACTAGTTCCAGCTTCACCGTCACCACCTTTTTTTAAATATTTGTTTAGAAAATCTCTAAGGCCTTAATTTTCTTCTCTCTTCTTCTCTTTTCCTTTCCTTTTCTGAGCTACCGGACTTGTGCTGACCCGGACATTTGAGCATACTGAATTTTCAAATGATCAACATCAAATTTTTTGGTCAAAAAAAACAGTGGCCAATACCATTTTTTGTGTTGGGGGTGGGGGGGTTATTGGCCACTATTGTCGAAGGACAATTTAGGAAGATAAACTAAATAAATAAGCTTTTATTATATCAATATTAATATTTTTCCACAAATAGGCTACTTTTAAATGTTTTTAAAACATTATTCCATAATTTATATGAGCCCCCCCCCCCCTCCGAATTTCAGTTTTTGTATCGATGTGGTTTCAAGTAGCTTCAAGAACCCTAAATTGATGCAGCTGGGTCAGTGGGTTTAATGTGATGGGAAACTTTAAGATAATTGTTGTTGAAAGTCTGTTGAAGCTTATTTTGATATTCTGCATAACCTATACGTGTTATAAATGTTCCACATCTTTATTACATTTTGAATTTTATTTCATACCATTTAAACTTCAATGAACAATTATAACCTCATGCTAACAATGATGGCCTTACAATTATGTTCAGTGGTGCAGGATGGTTACAGGAATGTTGTTATGTAGTGCCAAATTTATGCAATATTCAAGTAATGATTAAAGGAATTATTTTAGCTTGTCAGCATTCAACTGCAATTTTCTACAGAAAATAGCATTTGCTATCGTTAATCTGGTCCGCTGATATAACTGAACTGTATCAAAATAACTGGTTCCAGTGGGTAGTAAGACTGAGGGTATACTATGGTTAGAGAGCTTGTTTGTGTGAATTTAGTGCTAGTCCTGGCTCTTCCAGAGTGGTAGTTGTTTCAATTAATTATTAATTAATGAAACAACACCCTCCTGGAGAGCCAGGACAGCACTAATTCACACAAACAAGGCTCTTCTAACCAAGTATACCTCAGTCTTACTTACCCACTGAAACCAGAATTAATATTGATACAGTTCAGTATATAAGCGGACAGATTTAACGACTAGCAATAATGCATTTCCTGTAGAAAATGCAAGTTGAATGCTGACAGCTAAAATAATTCCCTTATATCATTACCTGAAATTTGCATAAAAATTTGCACTACAGAACAACATGCCCTGTAACCACTGCACCAGCTTGAACATAATGTTGTAGCCATCATTGTTGCATGAGGTTTTAAATGTCAGTTGAGTTTAAGTATTAATATAAATGTCATAATGTATGAAAGATTTTGTGGAAATTTTTAATACACGTGGTTATGCATGATATCTAAATTTAAGTTCACGACTTTCACCACTAATTGATCTTAAAGCTTTTCCATACGATTAAACAACTGACCCAGGCCCTGCATCCAATTTAGGTTCTTGAACCTACTTGAACACACTCGATAACTGATCGGGGGGGGGGGGGGCTCATATAATTATGGAATATATGTTTTGTAAAATACATTTTAAGAATAGGCCTTATTTGTGGAAAAATATGTAAATATGTTATGAGTATAAATAAAGCTTTTTATTTTAGATTGCCTTTCTCCCTAATTGTCCTTGAAATAGTGGCCAAGAACCCCCCCACCCCAACACAAAAATCGGATATTGGCCACTGAACCAAATATTTGATTGTTGTAAATTTGAAAGTCTCTAGTATTGCTCAAAATGTCCGGTCAGTTCACCCAAGTCCGTGCTCAGAATAGGAACCGAACAAGGACGAAGATAAGAGAAGAGAACAATTATTAGAGGCCTTAGAGATTGTTCTAAAACAAATACCTAATTATACTTTTATTTTGAATTTTTTTTTTTTTTTTCATTTATCCCCATTTTTTAAAAAAGGATGGTGAGGTATGAATGACATGTCATAGATAAAAGTCACGTCTAGAGCATAGTTTACAGAAACGCGCAGCCGAACAGGCCAGCTCATAATGTTAACGCATCCAGTAGTAGGACCAAAGGAACAGGAGAGGAACTAAAAGCAGAGAAAGAGAACAGGAAAAGGAAGAGCAGAAGATGAGGAAAGAGCAGCTGGAGAGGAACAGGAGAGAAAGAGCAGAGGAGAAGAAGGAACAGGAAGCAGGAAGAGCAAGGGAAAAGGAATATCGTCTGCGGCCCCATCTAAACAGATTATCTCGCCCCCAGGCCCAGGCAATGACTGTCAGCTGGCCTAAATAGTATTTAGAAGTTTGGCAGCAGGGAAAAAACATGTCTCCAAATAGTAAGACAACTGCCCAAAAAGAGAGGGGGCCTTGCGCAATGCCAATTTCCTTGTTTTATTACTGGGCACGGCCATTGCTGTTGAATTAACAGGCCTTTTTGGGGGCCCCCTTTTTAAAAAAAAAGGGCACTCTTTTTAATTCCTTGGCGAGGAAGATCCCATGATTGATGCTTGCCGCAACTCTTCTCTGTCTTTACTCAGCCTGGTAAATCAGTGACAGTACCCGTTGCTTCAACCGAGGTCAAAGACAGTCATTATGATACAATCAAATCTGGAAAATATTTACAGTCGTTCACTGGAAGGAGGTCAATCAGTCTGCACCCATAACACAAAACAAAGCCTATTCCCCCAACGGAATAGGGAAGAAACATTTTTCATTATTGGTAATAACAACTAAAGTATATAGGATTACTTAGGTAATTGTTCTGAATACGTTGAGAATTATTTATATATATATGAACAACCTCAAAGTCAAAATACGGCATAACTAACCTAATCTAATACATTATCATGGCTTCTGCAGTATTAGACCCTTCATCAACAATCTTAAATTTTTTACCAATAGCTTTGCTTTATCTCCATTTTTGTTACTGTTTCAGCTGCAATAAAATCTCCTTCAAGCTTTAATGTTAAATGTACAAGTCTATGTGTATGGGAGAGGGACCTGGGTACTTTGGGGAGAGGCATGGTTGACATACAGTTGAAGTCGATAAGGGATCTCATTTTGTGCAGTAAGGCTATAGTTAAGAGCCTCTGCATACCCAAATCATTAACACGATTCTATGTCTGAGATTTCTCCCCCTCTGTGTTTGAAATTCCTGGGGCCAAGTGTCACATTCGACTATAATCTTGATACAACAATATGTTTACATTCAGAAACTTTAAATGCATTTGGGGGAAGGTTCTCCAAATTCTCCTGTTGACATCTACATATTGGAGAGATAAACATATGCTTGAACCCCTCCCAGCAGCCCAAGAGTCCTGTATTTATGTTTGGTACAGATCTTCTACCAGAGCCAGTGTTATTGTCGTTCTTTTCCAGAATGCTTCAATGATGCCCTGTCCTGTTCGGTTTATTAACGCTTTCTGATTTTGTAAATACAGTGATAAGAGGTTGACAATGAACAGATCATAGTCGACCTTTGTTGACGATCCTTCCTTGATTCAGAAATGAGAACAGCCACTCTTCTTTACTTGAACTCTAACCATTGTTCATGAAAATTGGATCACTACAGTTATGTGGCCTTTGTCCTTTTTGCCTCCTGCCTCTACAGCTTTATCTATGTTTCAAATCTTCTCATGTATTATGTGATCCAATAATTAAGTG